AACCCGCCCTGGCAAACCCCCCTACGGGGTAGGAACGGGGGGGGGGGGGGGAAATGGACCTTCTGTGCTGGTTCGAGCACTAGGCACAAAAACACACACTCCCAGGCCTGGGGTGCAGGCTGGACCTGCGGGGTCAGGGAGGGTGCAAATCTCCAACCCGCCCTGGCAAAACAAACCAAGCAGCAGCGCAGAAGGTGCCGATGCTTCTCCTTCTTGGCAGGGTATTTCAGCATGGATCTTCCCTTGGCACTAGAGTGATCCCGGGCTCTTTTGCCACTTGTGCGGCACAAGGGTTAAGTGAGAACATGGGGGAGAAGCAGTAGAGGATTGGGTTTGGAAAGCCTATTTTTAAATAAGCAGTTCAGAGCTAGGTTAAATTTAAACCTTCAATTTGTTGAGCATCCAAGGGGGAGCCTAAAAACGGGTGTAATGAAAAACCTGGCCCAATCCACAAAGTGCGCGTGAGGGCCTTCCTGAGCTTCAGGGAGATTTTGGATGTAGAGTCTTGGTTCAGAGTCAGTATAGTATGTTCAGTGGGGACTGTGGTTTTCATCTGAATTATTTTAATGAATTAGGTTTGACAGCCTTCCTCTGGGACAGTCTAGCTTTGTTCCGCTTCTGTTTCCCTGTTTGGAACAGGGAGATAAAAGAAGTGAAATGGCTTTCCCAGAGTCACAGGGTAGAAAATGGTGGATCCAGGATCTCCGTCCCCTATTCTAGGTGCTAATCTTTCTCCTCTTCCTACACACAAGAACCAGCACAATAACAGGGAAACCTCTCTCCAGTTCACAGCCCCAAGCCCAGAGGAGGCTGAAGACTGGGTGGATCAGATCCAGTTCCTCCTGAAGGGTGAGTCCAGCAGCCTGGGCCAAGCCAGCATGCCCTGCTCATTTGGGCAGATCCTGGCAGCATCTTCCCACCCAGCTTGGGCTGCTCCCTCCAGCAAAGCGTGGGCTTGTGCTTATTGCTGAGACCTGGCTGGGGTCCCAACGTTCCCCCGTATCGAAAAGAGAGGTTCTGGGGCTGTACTCTTTCGAGCAGGTGGTTAAAAAGAGGTGACTGGTTGGAGCCCACGGGCGTTTCCTTGCAATTCGAGACCTTTTGGCTGCTTTTAGTTGTGTGATCTCTCAAAAGCTGCAAGTGTCACCAAGTGGGACAAGAAAAGGGTGGGAATGGCTCCTCACTGCTGGGGTTGCAGATCCGCTGCTCTGTCCTTGCCTGATGAAGGATGAGGTTTGGCTCCTCTGGATTTGCTCCAGTTTGAGCCCAGAAATACAGAGAAAAGACTCCAGCCATGCGTGTGGAAATCCTCTGGAAACCATAGGCAGCTGCCCAGAAGGGGTGTCAGGCTGAGTTCCTTGAGGCACTTGTTGAATTTGGCTTTGTTCTCTGGCATTTGCCATCCTTTCTGGGGCTTTTCCTTTTTTTTAGCCTGTTCTCCGCTTCCATGCTGTTTTCTTTACACCAGATGCTTGTGGGCCAAGCAAGGAGACAGTTCACTCCTTGCAAGATCTGTAGTGAGCACAAAGTACAGTGGCGTAGGCTTCGTTACTTGATTTCAACTCACCACAAGTGCCAGTGTCCAGCTGGCACTTTGGTTTGCTCTTTCTCACCATGCTTTTGCTATCCTCTGCCAGACCTGAGCTCCCTCACTATCCCTTATGATGAGGAGGATGAAGAAGAGCTCTACAATGACGTGGACAGTTCTGACTCTGTGAAGACACCATCCCACAATACTACTCTGAATCAGGATGAGCCAAACATTGAGATAGAAGAGGATGACATCTACGAGGTTTTGCCAGGTGAGCCACCAAAACCCGAGCCATCCCCTAGTTGCAGCCCTGCAAACGTGGCAGGAGACCTTGGCCACACGAGACGTTGGTGGGAATGAGCGTCTTGGGCTCTGCTGATTTTAACGGACCCACAACTCAAAGGTTTGACTGCGTTTCTTTGTTCAGGCTGGTTGATGGACCACAAGAGGAAACCCATTCTGTGCTGGTGAGGCAGAGGGTTTGTAAATTCAGGCAAGGAAGCTTTTAGAGGTCGTGCTCCGTTCAGCTGGGGTAATATTAAGTTTTGTGAGAGTGGAATCTCTGGCCTGTGTTACCTGGAAAATCGGACTTTAGATGATGAAAATGCTCCCTTCTGGGCATGCAGTCATGGCTGTAACACAATTACTGGCCTTCCAAGAGATGGTAAAATAACTGCATTAAAGATCAGCGCTTGTTTGCTAACAGTGCACGAGGTCTGAAGGTAGCAGGGCAGCGGCTGCCGGTTAAAGGAGCCAGGAGCAATCTTCCTGGCACAGAACCAAACAGCCTGTGAGGGTGACACGGTCTGCAACGTTTCTTACCGTTCTAGCAGAAATCACAGCGTGACATGCCCCAGGGCTTGGTCAACGGGTCACCCGAGCCTTATTCAAACACGTGTGCTGTTCTGCCTCTGCACTGAGGTTGGGATCACCCAGCCCCCTGCACGCCATCGGCGAGAGCGGGGTCCCTTGGTGCCTGTTCAGAGATGCAAAATAGGTCCTTGTTTCTTCTTATTTATTTCAGAACTTTATATTTGTAGTGATTAAAAAAAATATATATTAAATGCACCAGGAAGTTTAACGGTGCCTGAGATCTTTCCCTGGTTATTGCTGCCAAAGGAAATCTCTGCTCAGCGGTTTGCAAGCGGCATCCAGACAGCTGCCGGGAGCGGTTCCCTTCCTCTGTTGACACCCTCAGCTCTTTGAGGAGCCGCGAGGAGCCGCTCTCTGCTCCTCTGGGCATACCCACAGCGAGCCCTGAGCTCAGCGGGACCCTCGGCACCGTGGTCCCCGGGCTGGTGGGTGTGAGGTGCTGATGGTCCGTCAGGCCGAAGGCTTTCGGCATCCCTGGCTGCTTTGGCAGCTGTGCCCGACTCCTCGCTGCCTGGCGGCTGCCAACACCCACTGCAGAGCAGATATCAGACGTGAGGTTTGTTCCACACGTGGCTGATGGTGATCGTGCTAGGAGCTTGTGCAGGGTTGGTGGGTCCCCGGGCTGGTGGGTGTGAGGTGCTGATGGTCCGTCAGGCCGAAGGCTTTCGGCATCCCTGGCTGCTTTGGCAGCTGTGCCCGACTCCTCGCTGCCTGGCGGCTGCCAACACCCACTGCAGAGCAGATATCAGACGTGAGGTTTGTTCCACACGTGGCTGATGGTGATCGTGCTAGGAGCTTGTGCAGGGTTGGTGTAGGGACAGACCCCGCCGTTGCCCCTGCTCCGGGATGCGGAGTGTCTCGAAAGAGCCGGGGCCGGCCCTGCCAGCCAGCTTCGCCCTCGGTCCCTACGGATGTTGCTTTCCTGCTCCCATGCATGGATCAGTGCCCTGATGCTGGGGCTGCAGAACATCGTGGTGGAGGAGGGGACATCCCAGCCAAACCCTTCCTTTAACTATGGGCTTTTACTGGGCTCTCTCTCCAGCCCATCTTAGGAGCTTGCGGAGAGGTTGCTAAGGCAGCCCGAAGGGTGGTGGCTCAGGCCGCTTGCCAGCCCAAACCCTGCGAGCAGCAGAGTTGAAGCCCCTCACTTTAGAAGGGCTTTAGCAGTATCCTTCGGTCCCAGTGCGTGGGGGTCCCGGGGGATTTGCTGCCGTGCAGGGTCTGCTGGAGTCGCACCGACACGCAGGGACGCAGCTCGGACGCTGTGCAGGGTGATGCCAGCGGGAAGCGAAGCCACAGCTCTCCCATCCGGGCAAGTTTCTCACCCCCCGCAGACCCCAGTTCCCTGCCAGGTCGAAGGTAGGTGGTGGTGACACGTTGCTGTAGAGCGTGCGAGTGGTGAGAAACCAGCTGCAGGGCTCAGGGACAGGTAGGAGAGGTCTCCTCTGCCCCGAGCTCATCCCCCCCAGCCCTTCGCACCCCTGGGACCCCCCAGCAAGCACAGGGAAAGTCCCCATCCAAACTGGGGTCTCCTCTGGTCCCAGCTGCCTCCCCCATGTCCTGAGTGGAAATAGAGAAAGAAAGAGGGAGAGGAAAGAAAAAGAAACAGGGGGAGTGAGATGAAGAGATAATTTCCTCAGCAAGTCATCGTCGTTAATGAAGTTTTACAAAAACAGATACAACCAAGGAAAAATAAAATTTCACAGGTGATAAATTTTTCCAATTTCCCTGGCAGAATTCGATAGGATTGTTAAATTAAGAGTGAAGGTGTCTGTTAGGAAGCAACGAGCAGTGATGGGTAATTTTATAGAGTGGAAAATTGAATCAAATTGCTACATTAAAACACAGCTCCTCTGAGAATCTGCCCAACGCCCGGGCTGCTCCGGTGCAGCGGTGGGGTGCACAGCTCGCTGGCTCCCTGGCCACGCCCGCCGGGGCTGGGGGCTGCCGGGGGGCTCTGGGCCCCGGCTGTGGGTGCCCGGGGCTGCCCACAGGGATGTAAAGGCATTTTCCCAAGGGTGTGATGTTCCACACAGGGAGGTGGCGTAGGGGAACACAGCACAGCCCCCAGGAGATGCATTTTTCAGCATTTCCCTCTGATGCATGACTATAAAATCCAGATATGGGCTGAGATCAAGCGCCCAGTCCCTGGCAAGGCAGAGCATCGCTTCCAGACTTGACTCAGAAAAGCACCTGGTCGCAACAGGCTGCGGCGTGGAGGGGAGCTCGCCACGTCCCCGCGGGTCAGGACCTGCACAGCTCGATACCTACGAGGACTGTGGCTGGGGCCAGCGCTGCCCAGCACAAGCCGTGGTGCAGGCAGGGCTCAGCAGCACCCCGGGATCAGTGCCTTTACCACGGCCATCCCAGGGTGTCTGTGCCCTGCTGTGGGCAGGGAGCGGCTGTGGCTGGCCCCTCTGCGGCGTTGCAGGAGAAGATGGTGTGCAGGAGGGCGAGGGGAGCTTGGCTGCCGTCAGCCGAGGGGAATTTCCTCCGTTCCTTCCACAAAGGCTCCATCCGGCACAGCCCTTGCAGCCCATCAGGCTTGAAGGGCTCGCTGCTGGGCGGCCAGCCCTGAGCACGCTGGGCAGGGTGGGGACCAGGCATTCCTCCCATCACCTTTTGCAAAACACACAGAGTTCGTGGTTGGCAGGGCAGAGGCTTTGAAAAGAGAGGGAAACTGAGGCACGGAGGACTGAGACACGGGACAGCACCTTGTCCAAGCCATGGAGCACTCAGCTGCCCAGCTGCTGTCTCAGGCGGGCGATGCAAACGAGGGGATCCCTGGCTTTGATTTCTGGTTAGAACATGTCCAGTTCCATCAAATATGGAATAAAATAGCCAAAGGGAGAGGGGGCTGCTCTGGAAAACCTCCCCAGCCCCGGCCTGGCAGCCTCACGCAGCGCCTGGAGAGCGGGGACGTGGGGGAGCGGCAGCTTTCCATGGGGTGAGGGGACCCACAGAGCTGCCCGAGCTCGTTAGGGGCTGTAAATGTGACTCCCCATTAGCTGTCCCAGCAATGGGGACCAGCTCTGCCATCTGGGAGGGGGCTCCCAGGGAAGCGGGGAGGAAATGGGACAGATCCATCTCCCCGGGACCACCGGGGCACCCGCAGCTGCCCAGCACCACGTCCGCGTGCAGGATTCCTGCGGCTTTGCTCGTCTCGGAGACCCAGCGGCAACGTTTCCTCCACGGCACGTGTTTTCCTGCCGACGCTTCCCAAGGAGCGCGTGTGCGTGCCGGGAGGTGCGAGAAGGGCTCTGGGAAGAGGTTTCCTGAGGACAGCCCAGCTCAGGGATGGAAGCGGTGCCTGCAGGATGCAGGCGCGGATGCGAGCCAGAGGGGTGTGCTTGGCACGGATGGGAGGAGGGGGTGGCCGTGGGGAGGCTCTGGGTGCAGGTGTCACCCGCAGCGGTGGGGGAAAGACGCTGCCCGGCCTTGGAGGACGGCTCCGGGGTTTTTGTGGCATGCAGGAGCTGGTCTGACTCCCTCAATCCCATGCCAAGATGGGATTAGGGGATCTGGTGCCGTCGGTTAAAGTATAAAGGAATCCAGATGCGAGGGTGTGGGGCGCGTGCGTGAGAACGATGGGGGGAGAGTGCTGTGACAGCGACATTTACGTTCTCTTTTACAAATGCAAAGAGCAGGCAAAAGCCACTTTCAATAATTTATTTTAAAATCAATGCTAATGAGATTCTGTCTCGTCGGTGGCCGAGTTTTACAATAAAGTCTGATTTATTTAGAAAAGATCTTTGGTGCCGCTTCCCGTCTAATGGGGGGGCAGCTGCAGTGACCCTCCAGCTTGGGCTGCAATTTGTAATTGGCAGCGGAGGTCTGACCTGGTTTGCATTGATCAGCACCGGCTGGGAGAGACGGCTGGGGCCGCGTCCTCGGCAAGCGCCCAGCAGCTCCAGCACCTCCCCGCCGTGCGATCAGGTGCCGGGGGAGCAGCGGAAAAACCCGGCTTGGCC